ATTATGAGGACATGATCGAAATAAAAATTAAAAGCTCTTATCACCAATTGGCTGCCAGTGGTGCGAGTTCTTACATTTACAAGAAAAAAAATAAAGCATATGAAGGATGTCATACATTTTGTTGTAATGCTTCGAAAGTTTTGTGCTCATTACTCTATAACACAGTAAAAAAACATGTAGTGATAAGGTAATATCTTTGTAAGACCATCCAAGAAAGCACAACAGTCGTTATGCTAGCTTTTGAGATTGGCAGGCTTCTTCATCAGCCAAAAGTGATTTAAAAACATGCATTAGAAGGAAATAGGAGAGTCAGCATGGCATAGTGATTTGAGCATTGAACTACGACTTTGGAGGCCAGGATTCGATTCCCCCTTGGCCATGAAATCCACTGGGAGACCTTGGGCACACCACATGCTTTCAGCCTCAGGGGAAGGCAATGGCAAACCTCCTCTGAACAAATCTTGCCAAGCTTCACTTAGGGTTGTCATAAGTTTGAAACAACTTGAAGGCACACAACAGCAACAACAGAAGCAAAATAATGGTACTAGAGTCTTGGGTCCTTTACAGACTGTCAGAAATAATGCAACTTGAGTCCACTTTAACTGCCTTGGCTTAGTAGTAGGGAATCATGGTAATTGTAGTTTTTTTCTGAGACATTGAGCCTTCTCTGTCAGAGAGCTCTGGTGCCACAATAAACTACAGTTCTCATGATTCCCTAGCACTGAGCCAGAGCAGTTAAAGTGGACTCAAGTTGCATTATTTCTGGCAGTCTATAATGGCCCATAGTCTACATTATGGTTTGAAGTGTTATAGAGGAAGGTCCCTGCAGACAAAAAAGCTAAGCCACATTTCCAGTTGTCAAGAGCTACTAGAGACAAAGGCAAAAATGGTAATACAGTTTTCTTTTCTTAATACTAAGCAGCCCTGTCCAAAACTGAATCTGCTTCTCTCAGAGTAAGGGTTAAGGTCTCTTTGTAAGAAGAATGCAGTGAATTCAATTACCTTGATCTGTGCTGGACATCAGATTCTGTTAGAAATGTAAAATCCTACAAATTCCTTACTTGCCTTGCTGATAATTTCATTTCCACAAGGAGGAGGACTCAACAAAAGGACTTACTGTCTTGAATCGGAGCATTACCAACAGGAAAGAAGTGTTCAGTGATGTAGAAGTAGTGAGAACCTTAGATGGAAGCAACCACAGTCTCCTGAGATTTGTTTAATACAGAAACGAAAAGCTGTTTGCAGTGGAACATGCACCCTGGACATTAAGAAAGCTATTTCAATAAATTTAAGGAAACAGTAAATTAGAACTCATGTTTAGAAATAGCTGAAAATGAAAAGAACCCAAATAATTCAAATGAGACAGAAAATTCAGAGGCACTGAAAGAAACTGGGTGGGTGCGTTTTAGATGAGGCAAGGTTTTTAATGGTCAGGGCTAAGCAATGGAAGAAAAGCATATCACCAAGGAAGGGATAAGATCAGGAGGGCTAAAGTTCAGAACAAGCTTGTAGCAAAGGTTAAAAACAACAAAAGGGGAGTTTAATGTTATATCTGGAGCAAGAGGAAGAACAAGAAGAATGCACTAGGTCCACTGTGAGGAGAAGGTGGAGAATTGCTAATGGCAAAGTTACAAAGTGACTGTGAACAGAACAAATAAATATAAGAGTGTGAAATATTTCCCACATCTCACTCTCTCAGTGCTAGAAATTTGGGGAGTTAAGGAACATTTAACTCTTACTGGGGTGGGAATGCTCTCATTTTGCCCACCTTAGTAGCTGCACCTGTAGTTAAGGCAGGAGGAATGGTTCCTCTATATCAGGGGTAGGCAACCTAAGGCCCGGGGGCTGGATGCATTTTTTTTTATTTTTACTTTTAAAAATTATTTTTATTTATTTATTTATTTATTTATTTATTTATTTATGGTGCTTCGGCCCCCCAATTGTCTGAGAGACAGCAACCCTGCTCTATATGAACTAGATATCCAATTCTCTCCTCCCATCTGAAGCAGCAAGGAGATGTGGGAAAAGACTCCATCCAATCCCCTCCCAGCCACCTGACTCCATCTCAGCCCCCCGCACCTTCCAGAGGGAGGAGAAGAGAAACACCTGGAAGGAAGAGGAAGGAAAAAGCCAAACATGTGAGTTCATCTAAGCCCTGGCACAGACCATCTCAGCCCCTGCTGCTTTCCAGAGGGAGGACAGAACAAAACAGAGAGAACAGGCAAGGAAAATCAGACAAGGGTCAGAAGACAAATGAGAAACTGAAATAAAGAAGGACAAGAGGGGGGAAGGAAAAAGGAGGGAGGAGAGAGGAGAAGGATAGGGAAATGATCAATTCAACAATAATGGGGGGAGGGACAATGACATAGGCAAACAACTACTGGGCAGCAGCAGTAGTGGTGGGTGTCACTAAAGTGAAGAACAGCAGTGACATCATAGCCAACATTTGTTAGCACTGCACATAGGGAGGTATAGGTGGTCCTCCTTGTGTAACCTCCCCCCCCACCTAGAAAACCCTATGAGGAGACATTGAAAGTGTCATACAGGCAAGACAAGAGCACTAACAGAGAGACAGATAAAAACTAAAGGAAAACACACTTGCAAGAGCAACTAAGGGCAGTCAAAAATGATGAAGCAAGCAGGAAACACTCTCAGAAAGACTAACCCCATCAGAAGCAGCACTGCACATAAAATAGGGATGTGAGAAGCATGAGCTAAGGGAAGCTGGACATAGTGAAAATGGAAATGCAAAGCATGAACATAGCAGTACTGGGAGTGAGTGAGTTAAAATGGACAGGAATTGGCCACTTTGAATCAGACAACCACACAGTGTTCTGCTGTGAAAAGACAAAGAAGAAATGGGGTGGCTTTCATACTAAGAAAAGATGTTGCAAAAGCAGTCAGAGGACACAATACAAAATCAGACCGAATCATCTCAATAAGGCTCCACAGGAAACCTATGAATATCACCATAATTCAAGTATATGCACCAACCACTGAGGCAGAACAAGAAGAAACTGACAACACACCAACACAGGATGTCAAGCTGATCATCAGAGATTGGAACACAAAGGTTGACAGTAAAGAAGAATCAAAAATGGTAGGCGGATTTGGACTAGACAAAAGGAATGAGCTAGGTGAGCGTCTGATAGATTTTGTGAAGCCAACAACCTATTCGTTGCAAACAACCAGAGAAAAGGTTATACACATGGACATCACCAGATGGCCAACACAAAAACCAAATAGATTACATAATTGGAAGTAAAAGCTGGTGAAGCTCCATACTGGTGGCCAAGACTAAACCAGGTGCTGATTGTGGCACAGATCATGAACTACTCATTTCAAAAATAAAAGTAAAATTCAACAAGAAAACAAAACATCATAGAAAAATACGATTTAAATAACATTTCCACAAAATTCATTGACAATATAAGGAACAGATTTGTACTACTAAGTGTGATATATGTGGTATGTTTCTTTAAGTCTTACATCCTCTCTCTTCATCCACCTGTTTCATGTTACTGTGTTATTATAAAAGATTATGTGATCTTGGGAGTGGCAGGAGTTGTTTGGATAAGAGACTGACTATGTGTGTGTGAGTATTCTGAAACTCCAGCTTTCCAGAGGATACTGACTTTCCAATAAATGTATCTTTCTTTTTGAGAAGCTCAGCAAAGCACTCTTCCCTATATTACATGGTGTCAGAAGTGGGATGAACAGAGTGTTAAGAACTAAACTCCCAGTAACTAAGGATGTGTTATCTCCAGAAGTGCCTAGTGGTGTAGGAGAAGGTCTTAAAAGAGCTCAGCAGAAACAGAAACATTATTATGATAAAACTGCAAAACCCCTTAAGCCTCTGCAAGAAGGAGATCATGTATGGGTTGAAGAGAAGGAAGGGTGGTCTGCTGCGACTGTTTTCAAAGAGTGTAAGCAGCCCCAAACGTATTGGGTTGCGACTGAGAATGGACATA